ACGTTTGTGGTTTGTTTTAATTATAGTTTGTTTATGAAGGTTGCTGTATAGATGGTATATTGTTCTATTTTATGCTGTAAGCCTGGAAATAATTATAACATTATAAAAAAAAATTCGTTTAGCACTTGCAACTCTAAAAGTTAATTTTACATAATAATTTTTAATATGGTTATATTTTATAAGGTTTTGATATTTTATCTGACTAAACCAAAATCAACTATACCACCCCCCTCTCAAATTACACCCCTGAAGTGTACTATACCCTTTCCACTAAACGAGGTATTAACCAGGCACTTACACTTTTGCTAAAATAATTTCTATACTATTAAAAGCTGTTATAGTATTTTAATTTTTAATTTATATTTTTTGACAGTAAGTTTATTTGAAATAGGTACACCTACTTTTGCCAGTTTTACCTACTACATTTTGTYATTGTCAAATGTTCATGATTTTGACAAATTTTTATAAAATTCTAACTTTATACACTCATAAAAAATTACTGTTTATTTACACTAACAACAACTTATTATAGGAACTTCGTATTAAATGTTGAAATATTTGAACCAAACGATATTTTTTTATCGATAATATTTTTAAAAAAGAACTAATAAAAATCGAAATTTACTAATGTCTGTAAATGCTCAATATGAGTCAATATATTTTGAAATCATTTGATTTACCTAAAAAAGGCCAATGGGAGGGCATGTTTTTTATATTCAAGTGTTGAAAATTCGBTTTAATTAAAAATTATTGTAATGCACCTAGTTTGGAATCTGCAATAGGTCATRATCGGTAATAAATATAAAATTGTTTGATCTTTGTGTACCTAATCTTAATGTAAATTTTGTAGTACCTATGAGGCTATAAGTATTTCTTGAACAGGTACTCGATTTTAAATCGTTACAGCGATACGTATCGATGCACTCAAATTTTTTTCTYGAAAATAATATCACAGATCGTTACAAACACAGCTGATATAGATAATATTAACATTCGTGTTCTTGTGTTTATCAATTAGCTGTTTTCAATATATTGTGATAAGTGATATCTCAATGTGTGCAAGGTGGACCAAATAATAGTAATTAATATTCCCAAACCACCTTTCAAATGTTATTAATATATTATACAATATAATATTATGCATAATTATAATTTATAATTTATTAGTCGTTCGAATTTTGTATTGTACTTGTTCACGGGTACAAGGTCGATATAACTTTGATTGTCGATTTAGCAAATTCCGGATTGCTTGCATTTGAATGTTCCTCGTAAGTCTGGTATATCTGGTGTCCTGGTAAATCTCATTTCACAACACTCAACTATGGTATTCGCTAAATGGAACAGCCCAGTGTTTCAACCAGAACTTATCAGCTGCTAGACATGTCGGACTCCGGCAGCAGTTCGTCCGCACACATCCCTCCATTGATATTGACTTCGCCGAGGAAGAAGAGATACAGAAAGTAAGTATACTTGGTGGCCACTGGCCAGTTGTCAACTGCTGGTCACGTAGTCAGGATTGGTCATAATTTTTTTCTCTAATTTTCCATTCTAGATTTGGCCACAATAGAGACAAGTTTGTTGAACGAGTGACATTTGAAAAATGTCGCTTACAGTCACGTACATTATGTGTGTATTTTGTTCTGTCGGTACTCATTGTCTGGTTGCTGACAATGAGTTGGTTCATCAATGCTTTGCAAAACGAATTGGACAAATTCAATCATACTATTATTACAAGTAAGACTTCCGAATTATTTTTCTCAAAATTTCCCTTTTTTTCTTCAAACCACTAATTCGTTGCTGATGGTTCTACTTTTTAAAATAAATTTTTTTTGGCTATTTAAAATTGATATGGATTTGTTTTTAAACTTAATATTTTAATTTTTTACRTATTAATTTATCTAATAAAAAAAAACCTTTAAACTAGTTTYGTTTTTAAATCGTAAACAATTTTTTGTAGGTAGTTAGATATCTAAGATAAAAATAGATATAACTAGATAGTTGTTAATAATTTATTACTGACATCATTATAATCATAGGTATTGTGATTTCTGACAGTGATTATTTTGTTTAACCTTGCATAAAATATAAAAACAATTCAATAATGAAATCATTGAATTCTATTAATGACTGTCTCAGTAGGTATATTTATTGTTTCATTAAATAATTTGTATTAAGATTGAAATAAATTTAATAAATAGTTAATGAATATATTATATATATATATATATATATATAGTAAATAAATTAAACTTAAATACAATTATTAAATCTCTATGTGCATTTTGCATACTATATAAACGAGATGAGTTAATTTTTTAAACTTTATTTGTTTACCTATAGAATAACTACATAACTGTTTTTTTAATGAATAAAGTTGGTCCTAATGTAATTTGTTTGAATCAATATGATTAAGTTTAGAATGTATTTGTATATTATGGAAAATGTCACGTATAATTTAGATTTTATAATATTGTAGATAAATTATTATGGTTTATGTATAATATCTACAATTTAAAAATACAAATTTTTGTAAGTAGATATATATTAATATTTATAATTGATCAAATGGTTTTAATAGGTRCCTACAACCATTTGAACTAAATTAAAATTTTGGGCCATAAAGTAATAACAAGTTTAGTGTTAAGGTTGAATATTTTATAATTTCTATTGAGCTACCTTTAATATTTATTTAAGAGGATATCAGCATACTTAATGTTTTCTCACTTTAACTCATGTAAAATATAGAAAACGTTTAACAGAATTGACCCTGTGTTATTACTTTTAATATTAGAGTGAAATCACCTATTATCAAATTTTTAATTAAGAACATTACCTGTGTTCTATATGTTGGCTATTTTATTATATTTTTACTTTTATGTATGTTATGACTTATGACCATTTAAATTACTTGAATACAAAAATTAAAGTATTGTAAAAAAGTCAAGAGAGTTACAGATAATGTTTTTAGCTTAAAATTTGATAATAGCCAATAGGTGAATTTACTCTAATACACGTATAAAATGAAAAAATCAAATTTAATAACTATTAATATCTAAATGATTAATTTAGAACAAAGTTATAATCTTACCATCTAAATATTCAATAAAGATTTATCAGATTTAATAGATATAAATAATGTAGGCCAGAACAGTTTGATTGTTTAAAAAAAAAAATTAATTTAGCAATGATGAAATATTTTTGTTAGAGGCAGTTATTGACGACAGCCTCCTGCTTTTGTCATGCAGTTATTTCATAACATTAACACACTCTACCTTATTAGTTATTGCATAACAAACATTAAAAAATATCAACTCTTACTGCATTATATTTTAATGTATTTTCGTACAAACAGTTATTATCGTGTCAATGKTTTAAAATATACTAGGTCATTCAAATTTTACGTAATATCTGTTATTTTTTGTATACGTAATACATTACTTTAATATTTTTAATAAAATCTCAGAATTTGTGGTATTATAGAATATATGAAAATAAGACTTTACCCCTGTGGGGTGTTAGAACTTATATTAAATAAATAATSTATAGTATTAAGTATATTAAAATCCACAAATTGATCCCACTGTCATTGTACTGTCGCATAAGTGACTATATTATAACAGGTAATTTATAAATCACTAATTATTTTATAATTTTAATATGTTTTATCTTTATTRTTTTTAAGTTTTAATTTCATATTCAAAAGCATAATACTTTTCTTGTATGTTCTGCTTTTTAAAATGAAATTTAAACTATAAATTATGTTGTCGTTTAAAGGAGTAAAAACTTAAAAAAATGTAAAACAATATTTTTAAAAACTTAAATACTTTTTAAAATAGTGGGGTCTTACATTAAATTACTCACCTGTTACAGTGGCGTAGCCTGGATTTCTACAAGGGAGGGGGGGAACAAAAAAAAAATTTAATAAATAACATTCAAATAACAACCTTTTTTAATTTTACAAATATTTGGAAAATATTGATGATAATGACACGCTTATTAATCTACGGTGTTTTGATAAACAATAACCATTACATTTTTTCTAATTTTAACTCCCAACCGGTACAAAGCCAAAATTAATAAATTTACGGTTATTTTTTACATATTATATATTATATGATATGGCCCCTGTGCCCCCACCCGGCTACGCCACTGAGTCCTGTTATAACTCTATAGATTATATTATTTGTACTGAAAGCTGTAAAATGAGCCATACAATAAAGCAACATGTTAAATCACTTAAATTCATTTTAATAATAATATTAAATTATTATAAGGGGAAACCTGTATGAATAGTTCAATATTGTATATTTTTTAAAAAGAGTAATGTTTTTTCTCAAGGGTTTACATGTAAAGTTATGTGTATAGTTTTTAGTAGATCGCTGTGGTAATTATCAGTACCGGATCTACAAATTATGCAACCCGGGGCACAACATAATATTAGCGCCCCTAAAAGTCACCAAATCATATAAATGATGAGTTTAAAATTTGAAATTTGCGCCCCTCTATGATAAGCGCCAGGGGCATGGGCCCCGGATCGCCCCCCCCCCTAGATCCGGTACTGGTAATTATGAATGGAAAAGTCGCTCGGTGAAGTAGTGAAATACATCCATTTAATCATGCTCACCACCCCGCGTCTAAACTTTTCAACTTCTTGGCGATCTAACCACGACGATAAAGTATCGTTCTAGAATTAAAGTGACTGTGAATTGTGAAGGGTTCGCACTGGGTGGAAACTCTGGTCGTAGACAAACGTCTTGTAGTCCGGTAGAGCCACACTACCGAATAAAAACCTAACGTCCCGAACTTTAYTCATACTTMTTAAAAAAATAGGCATATAATGATACCTACTACAACCAAGATTTTATTAAACACGTCCACGAAATTAATTTTAAAACGCAATTTTGGGAGAGAAAATATGAACGTGACCGTTCCGGGTACGCCACTTGCGGCGGCGGCAAATTACAGACTTATTGATCAGACCGCGTGCACATATTGCTCCACCCACAACTACATCGACGGCGGCGACAGTTCAATTGTCTAAGTTCTAGCCATTGCTGCTGCAGAATGCAAACTGCAGTCGGCGGAACCCCGAGAGACGATATTAAACACATTATTACACAGTCATTGATGTTGCATTATATGACTACAATATTATAGTTTACTGCACGATGTTGAGCTGACTCTACCTATTCGTGTAAAGTGTATTCTTCAGCCGCGGGACGTCTAACTACCCCTGTACATGCCCATAGCATTCGCCCACTCCATCGATTCACCACGTCCACCCGTCGCGAAACACTGTCGTCTACCTCCATTCGCCTAGCTCACCAAAACAGACGCGTCGTCGTCATGCCTGCGGCCGATGAGCAGTGACGTGAGCAGGCGATTTTCGTCGGCCGTCGGCGGCGGCGGCGGCTGCAAGAAAATGCGAAAACGGAAGGAACTGGACGCGTTGACCGGGTGCACGGTAGTCGGCGTCAACCGGAACCGCAGGCTGATGACGTGCTCCTCCGACTCGGACTCGTGTTCGTCGTCTCGGGCGCCGCCCACGCCCATAAAGCTCCGGCGGCAGATCACACGCAGGCGAAAACGGACGTTTGTCGCCAACACCTGGTGCAGCGCCCTGAGGATGTTCCTGACGTTCGGCTGCGTTGTGTGGGTCGTGTTCGAGACWTACACGTTCCTYGACGTGCGCAAGATCCAAGCGCACTTGCAATCGCAACTCGACGAAGGTGTGTGACGGGATGATGTCGTGATAGTTGATGGGGAGGGAGGGTGGCTTGTGATTTTCGGCTAACTGACGGTCTATCGCGTTAAGATGAGGATGGTGATCTTATACTGTGAACATTAATATTATTTTCTTGTCACGAGTGTAGAGAACTCGAACATAACGTATGAGTTGTCTGTGAGATTGAGGTCATTGTTGATCTTAAGACATACACTCATACGGTYTAATGTGTGCATACAAGTATGTGTTTGTAGTATTTTTCTAAACAATGATACTTTTTTTTTTCAGTTGCCGCCGGCAATCGTGGAGTTCCAGATGACCTACAGAAATGTCATGCCATGTCTAAACAGCTTCAACAAAACCAGACCGATATTAATCAACGTCTAACAGTGTATGATGGACAGATCACTAACTTAACCCTACAGGTGAGTTTTATTTCCTTGATTCATGTTACCAGACTACTGAAGCTTGTGATTGCTATTAAAATAAATGTTTTATTTTCAAATTGCTGTATTTAAATTGTAGGTTGCCAATTTGGGTTCAAGGTTATCTTTAGTTGAGAAAAAAATCAATGAGAACACGGACCTTTTATCAAATCCAGATGCTACAAAAGACCCATCCATAAAAGTCTTATCATCAGAAGTTGCTAAACTTGGTAGTACTTACCAAGACTTAAGTGGCAGTGTAAAATCGCTCAAAGATACTACTAGTTCATTACAGTCATACCAAACAACTTTGAAAGCAAACATAACTTCAATAAGTGTATGCAATAACAAATATTCTTGAAATATTCAAATTAAAATATTTATATATTTTATTTTTAATAAACAGGAAAAATTAAGTAATGTTGGTAGTATGAAAACTGATGAAACTATGATCAACAATGTGTCTGGAAAGTTACATGARCTAATTGAAAATATAAGTTTGAATGTCACAACCTTAAACCGAACACTTACCAGCCGAATCGACTGGTTATCCGGAGATCAAAAAACCAATGGGGTAAGACATTATAAGTTACTAAGTATTTGATATATTGTTATAAATATAATTTCTTATAYTTTTTAAAATTTGATCATAATCTTAGGCTGGTTTTATACATCTATGATTTATTTTTCAGGCAGAAATAGAAAAATTAAAAGAGGACAGTCAGAAATTAATCGCTCAAGTAAAAACAATTGACACTAAATTAACGTCATCATTTAATGAAGTGAACTCAAAAGTAATGTAGTTGATATTAATTATGAATGATAAATATAGTAATATTATATTTATGTTGTAGGTTATATCTCTAAAAACTCAAATTGACAAGATTGCAACTAATGTTACCAGTTTACATGCTCAATCTAATTCCGATGACTCTTTAACGAGTTCAGGTCAATTAAAAGGTAAAATTTTAAGTAAATTAGTTGTGTTATAAGTGTATGTTGCTAATATTAAAACTAGTGAATTTTTACACATAAGCAAGATGGAATTTTTCAAAAAGTGCTGTCTTTGTAAAAAGTATTGTTAATATAGCTCATGGCTTATGGCTACATTGCCTACCAACTCTTTAAACAACCCCTGTATTTTAATCTATTCATTGAAAAATTATTTTTCTGAAACGAATGTCATTCARCAGTAATGTGTTAAAACTAGAAGAATYGATAGACGTTTTAAAAAACAATACTTAATGAAAATATGCATCATAATTTATATTTGAAAGTAAAGCTACCACATTGTCTTTAATGTAAATAAATGTATTGGGATAAATCATTATGTAGTATGTTTTTGATCAATTAGTTTTAAAAAGTTATATGAATATTGAATATATAATATTAAAGTATTAAACTTTCTGAGTGACTCCCATTGAGATGTTTACTACTATAGTTCATAATAATAAACAAACTTTTCTAAACATATAGATTAAAGGAAAAAAGTTGCAATTTATAATTAAATAATTAAATAATTAAATTTTTACTTTTCGAACTTATATTGTGGAAGTTTCATTATAAACATCTTGGGGTCTCATAATTACGATGATGGTCTTGTTAACCATTTATGTATAATTTATAATACTAATAATTTAAAAAATATTTTTTCATAAAAACATGACTGAATATGTTATTAGTCAAAATTGTGAAAAATTATATAAGTATTAATACTAATAACATTTATTTTTATTTTCAGGTGATAAAAATGGAACTCAGATAAAATCATAAYATTAGTATTTTTTGTGTTTAATTGTATGTGCACAATGTTGTTGAATAATTTTGTTTTATTTTTTTTTCTAACTATTAGTTTAAATGTTTACGTTTATATTTGTGTTAATGAGTCTTGTTTTGGTATAAATTTGTTTGATTTATGATTTAAGAAAGAAAAATGTACCTCAAAATTATTTATTTTATCTATTTGATGGACTGTTTGATAGTAATATTTATAATTCCTATTAATTATTAAAATCAAAATTTATGAAAAAAAAACTATTTTAACTGAGATATTATAATAATAATTATTAACTATATACATTTAAAAGCAATGTTGTTTTTTTGCCGTTAATATTGTACTCTTTTGCTAGTATATACATTTGAAAATAATTACAATAAAACAAATTATTTTTCTATATTCATTGAAATACATTTTGTTTAATCTATGAACTTAAATTATTGTTTTATAAATAAGTGTAAAATTAAATTAAATATGGTAGGCTGTAATATACATTCAAAATAATAAATTATACTTATTGTAGGTATAGCTATGCTACAATAAGTCATATGACAATAATTTAAAAGTACTTTTATTAACATTTTGTCACAATTGCATAATATACATTATTGTATCTAATTAATATTCAGTAGGGSAATCATTTTATTGTTTAATTATCAAGTTATGTGTTAACAATTATTCCAGAATATAATGAAATCAAAAAATAAACAATAAATTGTATTTATATGCAGTTTTAATTTCTAAAACTATTGCCATACATAATTTGTGAATTAAGAGGAAAATATGTTAAAGTAGAAAATCAAAGTATTTTTACCGCTCTATAAGCTGTTGATATTATATACAAAAAAATAACACACATCAATTGTAAAATTAATATACCCATTACTCAGTGGCGGTGGCCACGGGTCCGTTGCTCTCCCTGAAAAATCTGTGTCCTGTTTCCACTGGCCCTACCTAAAATTGTATGAAAATTAAAAATTTTCAAATTTACTTCAAAACTTTTTTATAAAATATTTTTAATTGTCTGTTATTACTAATAACATAGACTATTAMAACTAATAACTTATTAGTATGTGCAGTATGAAGTGGCTCAATATTATTCTATTTGATTATGTATGTAGATAGTTTATTGTATACTTAATGTAAAATTGTGGATTGTGGATTAAAGATTTTACACCTATTATAGATATTATTCATTGGCTCTTCAGTAAAATTACTTGCCTCAGATCGGCTATACCAGTTACCAGATTTGAAATCCTAAGACCCCGGTTCACCATCCGTCATTGCACTTTATATTCAACCTATATTTTTGAAAATAAAAATCAAATATATTTATGTGGCTTAATACTGTGWAACAAATTCAAACAGATATTGATGTAATAAAAAATTAAATACCTATGATAAATATAGGTATCTTATACCTTTTTTTTGTTTGGTGTTTATTGAGAATTTACAATCTGTAAATATAAGTAAATATGATGAAGAATAATATAAAATACAATAGGCTTTGAATGACTTGAAGAAAGACTCGCATTCAAGTCGCCTTTTACAGTGATTTAAGGTAAATTCATAAATAATATGGTAAATTTTGTAATTTTAGAAGGTCTCTGCACCAGTTGCGCTTGAGGTGTCTTGTAGGATTGTCAGCAGAGACGTATTTAGGCACAGGCCCTATAGGCCCGGGACTAGAGCGGTAACATTGGAGGGCGACAAATTTCAACGATTTTTTTTACAAAATTATAAAAAGTATTTTTCACTTGATGAAATCAAACTCAACTAATTTTTGTTCGCTCAAAATTCTATCTACATGTAGTACCTATACAGGCTACAACTATATTATACACATACGCAATACAGTACGAGCACATAAATAACAAAACACGCGCATTCAATGCGGGTTCGATTTCTTATAATAATGACAAAATTTTATTGTATGTAGTAATTAATTTGAAAATTAAATCGTAGCAATGATAAAGGAGGGGGAGAGGAAGGCGGCGAATAGGAAAGTGCCTATGGTAGGAAAAATCTTAATTACGCCACTGTTTGTCAGGAAGAATTTTAGAGGTCAGTTGAGAGATGAGGTAGTTGTTGTTCATATGGAGATTCCCATGGAAACTTTTTAAAAAATTGATGGCATTGTTGTGGACTGTTTTGATTTGGAGGTCATTGTGGAGTAGTTTGTTTGTTACGTACAATGGAGCTTTGTTAATGATACGCAGACTGCAGACAAATTGATTGAGATACTTGGATTCAAGTTTTTGGCTGGGCCCCTAAGTACGATGCCATAGGTGTAGGTTCATAAGACTTATGAACCTACACCTATGGCAGTGTCGGAGAAGGCATTTGTATATAACGATTTTGTTTTGAAGGTTGATGTTAGATCTTAGTAATGGTTTAAGCAGGCGGTCTACAATTAAATTTTTTTCGTTTATCCTTGAGATGAGGACCCCAAGTTAGTTTTCCATCAAAGGTGAGACCGAGATATTTGACTTGCGTGCAATGAGGAATGGTGGAATTGTTCATGATGATCGGCGGACAGTCATGTGGTCGTAGGGAGAAGATAATATGCGATGACTTGGTTTCATTGATTTTTATTCGCCATTTATTGAACCAAGGCATAAAGATGTTTAGGTGAGTTTGGATTTGTTGAATGGCAATGATAGGGTCCACAGTCAACACTTGAGRCAAGTATGGCTGTGTCGTTAGCGTAAGTTTCGATGAGAGTGAACTGGTTGACTGGAATATCAGAAATATAAAAAATGTAAAGAAATGGGGCGATATTGCAACCCTGAGAAACGCCTTACTRGATACCTACCTACATAATTGTTAATAACGTATAGTTAATTTTTTTTTTATTTTTTTCATTATTTGTTATAAYTATATTAAATTAATAATTATGATATTTGTGTTAAACATAATCATGATTTTTATTCTTAATTCCTTTATTAAAGGAAATTAGAAAATGGTCAAGATTTATTTTCAAATTTTTTTTAGGAAAATTGTCAGTGGAGGAGACAGGAGAACGGTATATAATTTTTAGGGCCGTTCTTACAATGTCCGGTTAAGTGTCGGTTAAGACYAACCGRTAGAATTCTAYCGGTTAACTCATGATAAATTCTTCCGGTTAGTGTTATCAGGCACTAACCGAGCATTGTAAGAATGGCCCTTAGAGGAAAACGGTAACGGACAACGGTCGATCAACCTAAACGTTTACGTTATAATGTTATATTAATAATTATTGTTTAATGTAAAATTAATTTACGATCAAACGATCAATGATATAAAATGTATAAAGGAGTTTAAAATGTATCTCTTTTCAACGGTCTTTGATCATAAATGAATTGTTGATAATACTTATCTTTTATCATAAGTAAACAATCCAAGCACTCCAAGCATAAAAAAATAATAAACAGAACAGTTTGTACTCAGAGTCTGAGTGCCAGATTCGTGTGTTGATACAATAATTGAAATTTATACATTTCAAGTATAACCGGTGTTAATGAGTAACTAATAATTAATAATATAATATAATTTAATAATTATGTTATAATATAGTATATTATAATATAATATTATATATCATGTAAGCATCATCGCATTATCGTAAAAATTCTGTAAATCTTTTAATTATTTGTTAAATTATGCGAAAATGTTTTTTATACAATGATTAATATTTTGTGATCTAATTGCAATACTAAAATCAATATGACTACTAACAGTATGACGGCGGAAACCGGYCTCAATCAAATTCTCAACGAAATAGCGGTAAATCACTTAATACTTTTTTAATAGCATAATATAATTTGTCACCAGTCTCAATGATACTCAGTTAAATCCAATCACGATATTATTGTAGTATGTGCGGAGGATGTTGCAGACATTAGTCATAAGTACCTTGTAAATTGATAATTTTAACTGGTTCGTTATACCCCATATTTGAAAACCTTATAGCCCCGTCACTCGGGGTTGTTACTCGCTGTCATCCATAAAAATCGATACATTGGTATAAATAATAATAATACTAATAATTAATTGTATAGTATAATTGATGGTTATTAATTTTTTGATATGCATGTTAAAAATAGGTATATACTTAAACGCCTATATAAGCTATAACGATTAATAATTCATTTTTTAATTTGTACCTTTAATAATAATTTATCTTTAAAAAATGTTTCTACTATTTATATTGGCACAAATCTTTTAAATTAATTTTTGTAAAGTTTGAAATAATAATAGAGACAATAGAAATCTTTAAATTGAATAACAACTAATAAAAACATAAGTAAGACTCATAATTTTTTTATTTAACCGTTTGWTGTTATATTGATTTTTAAATAACCCATACTATATGGTAATATCCCGGGTAATATAGTAATGGTACATATTTTAAAATTATTAATGTAACATATTTATTATAAATTTATAATGAATGGTGGCGAGATAACAAATTTCAGTGGTAAGCAGGTTAAAATTTTCATATGTCTAGGCATACTAACAAACATAACAAACCAGCATCTATTTTTTTTTCGAGAGGTGCTTCACTRCGACCAAACAATTTTTTAGTTTACTTTGCAAAATTAATGCTCAATTGACATTACAGATGCTTAAGCTCATTGACCCTCTGGCTAAGTCACTATAATACTATACTAGTAGTCACTATAAAAGTAGCTATTGTTTCATTTAAAAATATAGTTAAATGTTAAAAGAATTAAACTTGGCCGGACAATGTGTTGGAATTTGTGTCTTCTAATTTTCTAAAAGAGTTCAGAAAGAACAGCTTTAAAATGTTGTTTTGTGAATTTTTGAGAGTTAAAAGCATCAAAGATTTAATTTTTCATAGATATTTATTGATAATTTGTTAATAAATTACACTATGATTTTGACAGTGTTATACAAATCATAATATTATTTTATTATGATATTGCAAATGTGGCTTTATCCATTGTTCAGTTTATAAGTTTAAAATTATTAGTTTGTAATCTAACATAATATTTGTGGCCAACTGCCAATCTACAATACCTATGCTTAATACTTTTTAAAATATTTTATATAGGTTGGTAGGTACAAACTACT